TGCCCTCAAAATCACCGTCACCTGATACTAAAACAATACAGGTAACATATGCTGATAAAGTATTACTACCAATACCTAATGAAACAAACAACATGAAGATCATCGATCCTGGCATTGAAACAATGCAGACGATACAGAGGTATGATAAAGTATCAGAAGATAGTATCATCATTAATACGGAGAGGAGACATGACCATATACTAGAAGACGGTACTGCAAGATATACCGTCTTTAATAATACTAACGATAATACTCAAAAGAAATAACGTCTCGTTTACTACTACCATTGATACCGACAGTATCCAAACGTTAACCCAAAAAGCAGACCAAACGACAATAACAATGCGGCCACCACATTTATCTTCTGGCAACAACAGTATTATTGAAACAATATATACCGCTGATAACCAGCCTCAAAATTATTATATTTATGATTTACACCAAGGAAACGAAACACAGCAGAGTTTTAATATATCCATAGACAAGGAGGATTGCAGCGATGACATTGCTGCAGGCATTGATCGTATTGGTGGCGATACTCATGATAAACGGAACGGATATACTATTATTAATAAAAATAATGATAATAATAATAATAGGAGTAGTAGTAGTAGCAGCAGCGGTTATAGTACAAATAGCAATATCGATAAAAGCGATTTCTTTCTAGGTGAGAATTTAAAACTCGATAACCCAGTAATCGAAATATCAAGGTCTGATAAAGATAAATACAATGATGAAAGACCGTATGACAACGATAAAGAACAACAACTACAACCACCATCTCTTCATCAACTAATGAATAATGTAAACAATCACATTAGACCAAATATAGAAAAAGGATTACGTGAAACAAGTTTAACCATAGAAGGTATCAATATTAAACTCTTGGAGGAACAGACACGACACCTAAAATGTAATGCAATTGTTATTGATCTATTCAATAAAAGACAAGAAGCCATTAAAGCAGGTGTAGGTATTGACGATCTACCTCCTTTCCCATCAGTGGATCAGATCGAAGAGCTACGAAAGACTATAACTATAGAACTCACGATTAAAAAGTTGGAAGAATGTAAGAAAATGAATTGCATATCGGATGCAAATGAGCGCGAGGTTAATATTTCTCTTTTGACGACCTTACAGGAAAATCAGCTGTTGGCCAATCCCATATTCGACGGATACGCTAGGGTCTATCACAACAATATGACTTTACAGGATAACCTCCCTACTAAAGTTTCTTGTTTAGAATTCGAAATTAGTACGATGGACGAAAAAGAATTCACGGACGAATACGAACGCTTGGAATACTATACCGATTTTATAAATAGACTCTTGGTATTCAAAACGGAAGGATTAAAACAATGGCTGTCTATTATACAGATTTAAAGCAAGTTATAAATGGAGTTATTGATTCATTAATGAAAAAAAAATGATGGCGACGAGAATACTACATATCAATATGACGAGTTTGATGATGATGAGTCCTATTAGTACAGATCAGTATACTACAACAACAATAAACACGGAGACATGTAACAAGTCTTTCATATTGCACTCTAGTATAGAATTATTTTTTTCGTTTATTCACGAGAGGACTTCCCGATATATAACAAACATCTCAAAAAATGTCGCAGAGCTGGCTCTTAGGTTGGGAATTCCGTTAATAATGATTCGATGGTCGAGTTCCTTTAAATCATCAACAGTATATAAATCGCTATTAAAAAGGAGTATTAACAATATATCAAATACATCTACTGATCCGTCGATATTCATTCTGTCAAATATCTTAAACAAGACGAATAATGTTGATTCCTCGCATAAGAGCGAAATACATATGGACAATTCTCATTATCCATAATTCTGATTCTAACAAAATTTTGATGAAGACAATTCTGAGAAAGACATCTCAGTGGTCTACGATATAAAAAAGCACATCTTTGACTATCTACAGAAAAATCGTAAACGCCTTTCAACTATGTTAATCAAAGGTATTTTAGAAATAAAAAATATTACTTCTATGATTATAAATACTCAACAGGTCTTATCATCGTTGTCCGAGTCGTCACCCGTGTCACCGGTAACACCATCACCCGGAAGAGTGTTCAAGAGAAAACGTAAGCAATGATCCAGTATCGAATAATAATAATAATAATTATAATAATAAAACCGTTGCTGTTGAAGATTGATATTTTTATTTCATTCGTATGTAAAATTGTAACGTAAATTTAAAATATTTGGTTTAGATAATTTGATAAAAAAGAAGACGAATATAAAACAGATAATGACGACTCTAAGCGAATTACTTCGTATTCGATTCGATCATGAAATTGGTAAAAGATTAAGTGATGATATCAATGACGATGTTGATTACAATCACTTGTTAGAACAGTATCGTAACACTATTACTCTTGGCAAGAATGAAAATAAACTCGTTCAACATATCGACAGATCTAAACTCTTATGGAATCCAAAACACATAAAAAACTTTATATCTTTAGGAAATGAAAAAAATATGACCGAATATATCACAGCACTACTCGACAACATCTCTACAAAGTTTACAAATTTCCATAACCCTAAATGTTGTAAAAGAGAAGCTCAAGATATTAAGAGATGGTCTCATCGAATCGACGTTTAATGATATAAAAAAGACGCCACATTTTCTCTTCATCAACAAAGAGCTGAAAGAACGCATTCAGAAGAGACGATCCTCACTGAAAGATTTAGTGATGAAAGAATACGGTAACAACAATAATGAACACAGAAGCCTAATTCTTCAACACATGTTAAATATACATAAACTTTCCGAATTTGATAACAGTACCGATCTCGAATATAGTCTAAAGTTGGGTGAGATTTCGTCGTGCCAGTCACCGAGGGCGGATGAACATCATTCAAATTATCTTTCTCAGATGTTGAAAATGGTATATTCTCACTGTGGAATCGGTACCAAAGAGATGGGTCGTTCATCAATCAAGATGAGAACGAACATTGTTTATAAAATATTGCGTCAATTATATGATATTTCTGAAGAAATCACCACTATAGATTGGGGTATTAATAACGATAATAACCATGTGCTTGACCGTCTAACCCCTATCAATAGCAAC